GAGGGCAGAGGCTCCGGGGAGTGCTGTGCCACCCATGCCCTGGCAGGGAGGGACCTAGCTCCAGAGCTGGGAAGATGAAGTCAAGCTCATGTCTCATGAAGATGGATGAAGGAGATTGGCCCTAGAAGCAACAATTTCCACCTTCAAGTTGCTAAATAGCCTAGACTGTGACCAAGGCAGACTGCTGCAGGCAGGAACCACTCTGAACTGGGTCTGTGGCCAGTAGGCCCCACTGGCACAAGTAAACTGTTTGAAATGCTGACTTATGGTAGCAGCCGACCCACACACCTGTCATCCCAATCCAGATGGTGAAGGCAGGAAGATCACAGGTTTGGGGCTAACCTAGGCTAACATAGTGATATTTTTGCCTCAAACCAAAATGCAGAACCCCATCTTGAGCCCAGATCATTCTTTATTCAACTCACCCTCCACCCCAGTGTGATACCAGCTGAGACCCCTGACCTCCAGATGGCAGGGTCTCAGATGTCCTCAGGCTACATGCCCATCTGTGCCCAGCAAATTGGCCTTGATATTTATTTTGAAAATATGGTCTGGTCTGCCTCCATTTTAATAACAGAAGCAACTCTGGACATGTTCTATTGAATTTGATTTTGATCTAATCAAAATGCCAAGTTGCTCTGGGCCCACAAAAAGTCTCCCTTAAAATTTGCTCTGCTGTTCTGAGGGCAGCTGTAGCCGAAGCCCATCTAGACAGAGTTCCCACAAGCTACCTCTGTGCTCAGACAGCAACAAGCTCTGGCAGAACCCTGCCTCACAGACACACCTAGCAAATCAAAAGCTTGTCCTAGGCATCGGACTTGACAGGAGCCATGAGCTGCAAACCCCAGTCGCCCCAGAGGATGACGCAGACACCCAGATCAGGTAGCAGCATCGTTTCTATGAAATGTCACACCAGATGTGCTCCTGAGCTAGCTGGTGGCACTGCAAAGCCCCAAAGGCGGGTTTCAAAGGTGGCCTCTCCCCAGGAGCAAAAAAAAAAAAAAAAAAAAAAAAAAAAAAATTGGTGAGAAATCCTTTTCAAGAAGGCTTTGGGGGCAGAATTTAGGAGAAATGGAAGAAAGTTTATGTAACTCTTCGTGTCAGAGTAGCTGCTCTGGGAGGAAGTGGTGGGAGACACACAGAGGTGCAAAGGCAAGGAATGAGCACCGACTGTATGCTACTCACCGACCTGGGCACTTGGGCTGTAGACACAGACAAGATGGACAAGGTGTTTATCAGAGAGACTCAAGAAATGGGAGCCATGTCCGTAATAAAATGCTAAGTCAGAGAGGGGCAAATGCCGGAAAGAAAAGCATGAGATGGAAGGGCAGCTGGGAAACTAGTCCACCGACCAAGGGACAAAGTGAGCCACACAGAGCTTTAGAGGGAGAGCACAGGGATGAAGTACCAAGGCCCCAAGACGTGAGATAGCTTAGCATGGTGCAGCTGCTGCCTAAAGCAGCAAGAGGGAAGGGAGAGAGGAAGGTGATGAGGTTGGGGCCCTAGGGCATGCACTAGAGCCCACAGGGAGCAGAAAGTCTACATGCCAGGCTGGAAGTCTTCATCGCAGATGGGATAAAGTGAGGTCTCTGCTCAGCAAAGTTGCCTGGTAATTCTTCCTTTTTCCGTCCTCTGGATCAGCCATCAAAGAGCTAGCAGGCAGGAGCTTTGCAGAGCGCACACAGCAAGTGTTTAATAATGTGGCTCCTTGACACCCTCCTCCCCCATGCCTCCTGCCGGCAAGCTGTCCCCGGCAGGATCTGAGCAGCTGCTTCATGAGGAAATATTGCAAAACTCGCCCAAGCAGTTCCAAAATATTTTCTGGGCAGCAACCCCACAGCCGCTAAGAGGCCCGGTTCTGGGGACTGGCTGCTTCTCTAGGCTGTTATGTTCTACTCTTACAGGGCCCCCATCCTCAGGACCCAGCCTGAGGAGACAGGTCCACACAGACAGTTCCTCCACACCACTGAGCCTGCAATTCCTCTGATACTGCCTGACTATGTGATGTTGGATAAGCCCAGTCTTTTGGTTTGCTGAGACAGGGCCTCACTATGCTGTCCAGGCTAGCCTTGAACGTAGGATGTTTTTGTCTTGACCTATAAATACTGGGATGATAGGAATGTTCCACCATGCCTGGCCAGAGCTATTTTTAGCCTCCCCAGGATTCTTTATCCTGTGTGTCAGGGGGTTGAATTGACTCAGTGAGTGAGAGAGGTCATCCTCTCTAGCCCTGGATAATATACCACACTCTGATGTCACTGGGGACATCAGCAGGGACCCCACCATGGCTCTTGACACACTATGCAATAGCAATATGGTCCTTGCTGTCCTGCCGGCATGAAAACTTGTTGAGGTCCCACAGTTGGCCTTGTGTGTCTCTGCCTCTGAGGAGAAGCCCATGAGTGGTAAATGAATGAGTGGGTGAATAAATAAGAGAGTAAATGAATGACTGAGTAAAGGAACAATGCCTTTCCTGCATCACAGAAACAACCTCTTCAGATAAACTGATTCCTTCGTTGCTCTCACATGGGCATCCATCCTCTGCACTCTGGTGGTCCCTAGTAGGCCCGGGAGTGCAGCCATCTCTAACTGCCCTGATGAAAGACACATGGACAGAGATGCTCGGGCACTGAGGCTCTTTTCTCCCCTGTGAAGCCAGAGTAGAGGAAGCAAGCCTTTCATACTCACTCCTTGGAGCGCTAGGGCACACTCCCTGCACCTGCCCTTCTCCACAGATGATCTTGTAGTTCCTCAGTGCTAGCTATCCAGTTCACATCCCTCCTGTGGGCCTGTGATCTCCTATCCAGCCTCTACCTCAGAGATACCCACCCCCCTGCCATGCATGGGGTATGTCTTTCTGTATATATGTTTCTCTTATTGGTTGATGAATAAAACACTGTTTGGCCAATGAGGCAGAAAGATAGGCAGGACTAGGAGATGAGGAGAATTCTGGGAAAGCTAGGCAGGGAGAGCTGACTAGAGTTGTCATATAGTTGACAAAGGAGAAACAGGTCCAGACCCTTCTCTGGTAAACCAAGACCACATGGAAATACATAGATTTATAGAAATGGGTTAATAATTAATACAGAGCTAGCCAATAAGAAGCCCTAACCATCAGCCAGCAGTTTAATAATCAATGCAAGTCTTTGTATGCTTATTTGGGGCCTAAGTGGCTGTGGGACCTGGTGGGACAAGAAAGAACCTCCAGCAACACCCCTCCACACAGCCCTCTGACTCAACACCTGCAAAGCCTCGAGTCTTCTTGCCAAACTCTTCCATTGACTGTCAAACACACCTCTGAAGGCTCCTACAGAAGTTCTATGCAACCCCAAGTCTCCTCCCTCCCTGACCTTGCTTTAACATGTGTAATCGTGGAGGCACACTTACTAAGTGCCAGCTAGCTAGTTCATGGTTCCACACACTGGCAACCCCCTCCAATGACCTATAGAACTCTTGTCACAGCTGGGGAAGTACCAGGCCTGTGTCATTGCACTGATGTTCTCTGCTAGAACCAATGGGTTGCCTCTTTCTTGAGTCTCATTCCCATTCCAACTTGTGATGTCTGGATCCCCTAAACAAAAAAAGTTCTGTAGATGCAGCCTTGTTAGTGTCCCTGTGTGTGTGTGTGTGTGTGTGTGTGTGTGTGTGTGTGTCTGTCTGTCTGTCTGTCTGTGTACATGTGTGTGTGTGTGAATATGTGTGAATGTATGTGTATGAGTTTGCGTGTGAGTGTGTGAATGTGTGAGTGTGTGAGTGTGTGAATGTGTGTAAGAGAGTATGAATGCATGTATGTGTATGAGTGTGTGTGTGAGAGAGGCAGTGTGTGTGTGTGTGTGTGTGTGTGTGTGTGTGTGTGTGTGTGTGTGGGTCTGGTCCCAGAGAAGCCCAATCTGAAGCACTCTGACGATGCCATCAAAAAGTTCTCAAATCCATGCTTCTCTGTGACACATTCAGACCACTACCATGTCACCTAAGAAAAAGGGACTTAATCAGCCTCCAAGCTGGCCTTCCTTCATCTAGCATCATCCTCTACCCCTGACCCTGAGCTCACTGCAGAGGCAGTGTGTATGGAGAGAGATGCAAGAGACCAAAGTAGAAAGATCAACAGAGACCTCCATCAGACGAGAAAGACAGTGGATCCAACAAAATAGGTAAATAGAAACAGATAGATAAATAGAAACATAGATGATAGATAGTAGATAAACAATGATAGATAAATGATAGATAGAAACATAGATGATAAGATAGATGATAAATAGAAATATAGGTGACAGATAAATAGAAGATAGATAAATGATGATAGATAGATAGATAGATAGATAGATAGACAGATAGACAGACAGACAGACAGATAGACAGATAGGCAGGCAAGTAAGTACATAGAGACAGATGATGTGAATGAGGGGAACCCTGAGGGTAGAGCACTCGGGCTTTCGACTCAGCTCCCAGCACTCCTGGCCTTCTATCATGGTGACTCAGGTACAGATGGAAACCTCTAGAGCATCTCTAAAGATCTAAGAGGTATATGCTGACTAGCAAGGCTGTGTGACCTAGGGCAAGTTATTCTACCTCTCTTAATGTGCTCATCTGCTAATCTTCCTGCCAGTGGGAGTCAGGGGTTAGCAGGGTCATGAGATGAGGCCGGAAAAGCACCCATGTGGAGGTGGAGCAGGCAGAGAAAAGTAGCTCACTGAGATGTAACTGCCTCACCTACCACCAGTGGCTTGTTCTTTTCCAATGTGACACTTGTTCTTATGGCTGCTCTACATTCTTCTTAATATGTCCATCATCGTAAAGCATGTGAAATGAACGCACTCGAAGCTCCCAAGCAAATCTGTCCCCTCCCTCCCTCAGCAGATCCCACCCAGGGCTAATCTCAAAGGCCGTTGGTGAAGTCAGGCCAGGCCTGGAGCTGCCAGCCTCAGCTTAGTCTGGGATGTGTGTCTAGGGGAGGATGCTGGTGCAGGGGTCCCAGCCCCGCCAGCCCAGCAAGCACTTACGGGTAGGGTATCTCTCGTGGCGGCAGGCGAGGCGGAAGTCTTCTTCTTCACTCACATCCCCCTTCTCAATCCTGGAAAGGAACAAAAGAAAACCCCAAAGCTGGAATGAGAGGGCAGGTGGAGCTGTGGGCACCCATGGCCCGAGGACCATGGTGCCCACTGTCAACACAGCTTTCCACCTGTGTTCACAGACTTTTACCCAGGCCCTGAGGGATGGGTGCCATGTTCCCATTTATGGATAAGAAACTGAGGCATTCAGGGGACAACTGAGACACAAAGCAATTGCTGAGCATCCACATGGCCAGGGCTTACACACACACACACACACACACACACACACACACACACACACACGGAGGGGAAAGAGGCTGGGAAGGGGGAGGGAGGGAAGGAGGTGGAGGAAGGGAGGCACACCACACACATACATAAGTAAAATAAAGTCCTGTTAGTAGGTTGGTTGTTGTCAGCCCTGGCTGGGCCCAGTGTGTCTCAATTTCGCTATTGCTAGAAGTTACCCATTTGCAGTTTTAAACCCCATGTGGGCTAGCCTCACACTCTCTCCTCATTTCCTCCCTCACTGTTTCCTTTCTCATACTGTGCCAGGTCCTGGGCTTTAGTTCTCAAAACAACTATAGAGTCACATTAGTGGTTGCTATTATGAACATAGCAGAGACCACAGTGTGGTGGCTGCTATCACTAATACACCAATGACCATCAATGCGCCCACCAAACATATGGAAAATGAGGTTTGGGGTAGCTGGGAGTTACAGGGTCACACTGCCTGTAACCGAGCTCCACAGTCCGTTCCCCCTGCCCCATGTCCCAAGTCTCCAGATATCCCCGTGTTGTCCTGCTGGAAGCAGACACTCAGCCCCGGAAGGCTGCAGAAGGATGGTCAAGCCCTCAGCTAGACCCACTTTAAGGCTTAACCCTTCAAGGTGCAAGCTCTGCTGTAGCCCTGCAGAGCCTGCAGATATGGGATTTCACCAGGGAATCTTCCAGAACGGAGTGTGTGAGAGCAAATCATCAGGATGCTGAGGCAGAGAGATCGTGAGTTTAAAAGCAAGACACCGTCTCAATGAAGGTTAAGAGAAGGAAAAAGCAAAGCAGTGGAAAGACATGGCACTGAGGCCCAGCAGGCTAGGCCTTGGCTCCCAGGTTGTCAGGTCAAGTGCCACTTCAGCCTCCAAGCCTCTGCTGTCCCCACACAGTGGCTTCCAACCCTGGCTGCCCATGGCCTCATCCCACCAGAAACATCCAGCTCTTGTTTGAAAACAACTGCAAATGTCATGAGGTGACCCATCTTTGATTTGAATAGAAGCTTCCAGGGAAATACTTTGTTTTCTGTTCACGTTTTAAAAGATGGCAGGAGCTATTGCAAGAGACCCAGAAAGTACCCTGGAGAGCTGACAGGGCCTTGGTGGATGGCAGGTGGGACCAGGCACCTTGAATGTGACACATGCACCCTCCTGGACCCCAGGTTCTCCTGAATTGTGGCTCCACCTTGTTCTGGCTGCTTAGGTCTGCAATGTCCCTTGTCCTCTCTTCTGTTCCCTCATCTGGCGAGCAGGTGCATACTACCTGTTGCTTAAGGCTGTGGCCAGCACTGGACAAATTTGTCAATCTGTCCAGAACTTCCATCACCGCTTGCCCTCATAATTGCCACAGTTGTCACTATTCTTGTCATTGGCAGCACGCTCAGTGTCACTGTGAAGCTCCAGTTACACAGAGGTACCCCTTTGCCACATCAGCCCATGTGTTCCTCTTCCATTGCAGTTAGCTCTTTGCTGACATTTGCCTGGAGACTCTTGGGTTTCTCTTTGTCTTGTTTTGTTTTGTTTTGTTTTGTTTTGTTTTGTTTTGAGGCAAGGTCTCATTACACAGACAGGCATTGAACTTGACTCCTCCTGCCTCGGGCCTCCTGAGTGCTAGGATGTCAGACGTGCTTTGCCTCGCTTGGCCAGATAGTCAGTCATGTTTTGAAGGAAGCAGAGGAAAGACTGAATTGTCAAGGCTCCTGCCTAGGGTCAGTGAACCCACAGGCGGCTGCAGCATAGCCTCATGCCCCGAAGCCACTGAGTTGCTCTACCTGGGCCCAAGAGTAATCACAGCGGAAGCTGAGAGCAGTGTTAATGATAAATCGCAAGGGGAACCTTGGCGGATTCCCTGGCAGATGAGGGTGACCAAGGGGTAAGGGATGACAAACATGCCAGGCAGACAGAGCTTAAGTGAAAAGTTTTATTAGAAAGGGAGGTGGGCGGGCGTTGATGGCGCACACCTTTAATCCCAGCACTCGGGAGGCAGAGGCAGGCAGATCTCTATGAGTTCGAGGCCAGCCTGGTCTCCAGAGCAAGTGCCAGGATAGGCTCCAAAGCTACACAGAAAAACCCTATCTCGAAAAACCAAAAACATAAGGGAAGGGGGAGGAAAGGGGCAAAGAGACACAGAGACATAGAAAGGACAGAAGAGAAGAGAGAGACAGGAAAAGTTCTGTCTGCCCCAGGGGAACGGCAGGAAAAAGAGGGAAAAGAGAGACGGTGGGAAAGAGAATGTAAGTGGCGAAGGTCTTTCTTTTAAAGAGGTCCTTTGCACCTGGGCTGACCAGGGTACTGCCTGAGTGCATTCTGCCAGGTGACAGGGGCAGGCCAGCATAATGCCTGCATCCTTACAAGTAGTATCCAGGAAGTGAAAGAGCCACAGGGGAGGGTGGTAGCACAGAGGTGCCCTGAGCTCCCCCACATCTGGCTCTCTGAGAGAAAAAAGTGCCAGAGCACAGTAGACCTCTGTGGGAGGAGTCTTCTCTAGATGCCCTACAGTCGAGATGGGCAGGGACCAGCACCTGCTTCGCCTCACTCTCTCATGTTCTCTATTGCACAGTCCCATCAGAGCCATCCTCAGAGCCAGCCTCCCTTCCCGGGCCCCAGGGCAGATGTTTCCAGCCACTGTCTCCATCTGACTCTCCATGCTTCTGACCCATCTGTGAGAAAGGCTTCTTTCCTCTCCATGTTCAGGGTGCTGTGAACTAAGTTTTACGGAGTCACCCTGTGCATGCATACCAGATGGGCTTGAACTTCCCAGCAACATCAGCTGAAGAGCCTGCACTGGCCTCCATGTCTGTTCTGTCACTCTGAAGATGTTGGCAAACGCTACTGGTCTACAGGCCACACTTTGAGTAGCCCCTGCCCGTCTGCTGGACCTTGCTGGCCACATCACCTCCTGGGATCCGGAGAGTAGCTACCTGCTCTGTTTCGCAGCCCCATGTTTCCCAAATTTAAAGACCACAGATGCCACCTGAAGATGTGATTATGCAGATTCTGAGAGACCAGTCTTGGGTGTAGGGCTAGATTATGCTTTTCTCACAGGCTCCATGGAAGCCCACAGATTCCTGTTGATTCTCAGAACATCTGCTAAGCATGGGTCTTCTGGCTTTCCCATAGTGTAGGACCTGCAGGAGGGAAGTCGTGGTACAGGACTCTCCCCAGTGCATTCTCTCCCCAGCTGGTTGATCCTAGAAGAAGCTCAGGAGTTCAGGAAGTGGCTATTTCTTCCAGTTGTTCCTCCCACCCTTCCTCCACTTTTTCCCACCCTAAGGTTCACCTTCTGCTCTCTGTCTTCCCTTCCAGTGCTGCTGAAGAACAGCAGTGCCAATGATGCCATCCTTGGAGCAGTGTGAAGGTGCTGCAGTCTCCAGAGCATCATTCCTAAATCCCGGAGACCACACTCCTCCCAGGAATAGCAATTTCAGAGGACCCCAGCCAGGAGCGGTACTCTGCAAGGGGCCCCTGGGAAGTCCCATCAAAGCCTCCTCAAAGATAGATGGAAAGACAGAGGCAGGACTCAGAAGTCACAGATCCGGGAGACAGCCTCAGAGGACAAAGAACACATTGATTTTAAATGATCAATTTAGGAAGGAATGAAGGATAGAATTAAAAGGAATAAAAGAAATAAATGACCCATAGATAGTAAATTAAGATTCCATAACATTCCACCAAAAGGGCAGCTGCAAGAAAGGGGGAAATAGATGGTTTTAAAGGATGTTATTTTTCCACTTCTTCCCCTTTCTTTTGCATGATAGAATCATTTGAAATGTAGCAGGAGAGAGCAGTTCCCCACAGTGCTCACGCTCTGGCCTGGTCTTTAGGGGTGGTTAATTTTGTCCCCATTTCTGCAAAGAGGCCTGCAGACACCTTGTGAATGGCAAGGGTAGAAATCACTCCCTGGAAGTACATGAAGTCTCCAGCATTAGTCCCATCAGAACACCAATCCTTCCGCCCCCTCCACTTTTGAAGTCTCCACAGGCTTCCTCACACCACAAGACCCCAAGGACAGTGTGATGACCTCCTGATTTGTAGCAAAAGACCCTTTCCCCTGGGGAAAGGGCACAGTCATCAAGCCAGGATGCCTATGGTATCAGCCTGTGCTCCTGCTTGAATGTTCCAGAGTGCAAGCGGGCCAGAGACACTGGGACAGGAAAAGAATTAGGCAGAACACATGGGACCTTCCCATGATGTCCTGGGGCCCACAGACACCTCACTAGTGCTCTGGATGGAAAGGTAGGTCCATTATCCTGGTCTTATCAGGGCTGCAGAGCAATAGCTGCTGGGAGAATGGATTCTAGAGTCAAAACGTGGCCAGGAACAGGTGAGGGGATTGCTGGATTCACCCAGGTGAGTGTGAGGTGACTCAACCTTGCCTGAATGACCAAGGGTGGAGTTGGGAGGAGTAAACTACAGCTATCGACACCTACCTACCAGAGGCACACTGAGACCCCAGTGGATCCTGAAGTCCTGGGCTGTGCCAAATCCTAAACAATAGACCATTTTCCCTCTGTACACACCCATGAGGAAGTTAATTCACAAATCAGGCACAGCAAGAGATTAACAATAAGATTCGGGGGGGAAAAATTAAGGATTTTTACTTTGAGACACAATCTTACTATGTAGCCCAGGCTAACCTTGAACTCACAATCTTCCTGCCTCCACCTCCCAAGTGTTGGAATTATAAGTTTGCACCTGGCTAAAATAAAAATACCTAGAACTACAAGAAGTAAGGAATAAAGAAAAGCTATTTAAAACTTGGTCCAGGTAGAGGCAGGTGGATCTCTCTGTGTCCAAGTGAGATGCTTTGCAGCCTTGGAGTGGGGTGGGTATTTAAAACTATGGTTTGCTGGATTTTGTAACTTTCCATATGTTTCTATGGGTCCCTGGAGCTGCAGAAGTGACATGGAGTTAAGGGGGGCTATGGTGGTTTAGTCACCAGGGAATAGAACTGTTTAGAAGGATCAGAAGGATTAGAAAGTGTGGCCTTGTTGGAGGAAGTGTGTGAGGGGGTGGGATTGGAGGTGTCACAAAGCTGACACCAGACCTAGTGTTTCTCTGTGTCTGCTGCCTATGGATCAGGATGTAGCTCTCAGTTACTGCCCTAGTACCATGCTCCCTGCCATGACAATAATGGACTAAGCCTCTGAAACTGTTAGCAAGCCCCAGTTCAATGCTTTCTTTTATAAGTGTTGCCTTGGTCATGGTGTCTCTTCACAGCAATACAAAGAGCAGTGACTAAGACAGAGGCCTAGTGTAGCTGTGGGGAGAATTCACTGTCTTGGGGTGAACTTGACCATTCCAGACAGGTGGTGGTGGTAGTGCTCACCTTTAACCCCAGCACTTGGGAGGCAATGAAAGGTGGATCTCCGTGAGTTCAAGGTGAGCCTGGTCTATAGAGAGAGTTCCAGGACAGTCAGACTACCTAGAGAAACCCTTTCTCAAAAAAAACAAAAACAAAAACAAAAACAAAAAAAACTTTGACTGTTCCAGGCTTTCACCAGCTGGGACACCTACAAAAAGAGATGTGTAGCCAGGACAGAGAGACCAATAAACTGGACTGGGTTTGAAGGTCAAACATGGCTAGTGAGTTTGGCCATGTTGACAGAGGTAACTTCAAGAAGCCAAAGTAGGAAGTATAGCAGCAATGAGGAGGGGGCTACTGAGATGTAGGTGTCCTAGGCCATGTGGTCACTGAGGGAAGAAGAGGAGGGCTGAGCCTGGCCGAGCAAAGAAGAGAAGAGGGTAGGGAACAAGAAAGAAGACAGTCCCCACAGTGTCCACGCTCTGGTCTGACCTTTGTGCATGGTCAGTTTTGTCAAACTGTATCTCAAATTGTCCTACAAATACCTTACAAATGGAAAGGGCAGAAATCACTCCCTGAAAAGACCTCAGGAAGAGTAGGAGGGGGACTGTTAAGTGGGGCTGTCAGAAGGAGGGGCTACAGAACCAGAGCAGCAGCAGATCTCTGAAGCCAGGACTAGCCAATCATGCTAGAGTGTGTTGCACTGGCTGCTGAGAGCACCTTAGTGGGTCTAGGAGGGCCTGGGAGACAGACTGGTGTGGGTGGTGTCATGAGTGGGAAGTGAGATGGGAGAGAAGTCTTCCATGTGTCCTGGGAGCAGGCAGAAGAAGAACTGTGCTGGTGGAGTGGGCTCAGCACACCCTCTGGGACTGCTGAGATGTGTGGTCACTGGGCAGGCAGAGGAACCCTTCACCACCCAGGAATGACAATGTCCCTGCTGTGCTGGGCAACTTGCTTTGTGACCATCTGAGAAACTCAGTGAGAGATGACTTCAGGGGAAGGGCTTTCTGCAACTGTTTCTACTCCATGTGACACACAGAGAAAGGAGACTTACTCAATGTGGCCCACGTTGGAAAGAGGAGCTAACACAGAAAAACAACAACATACACACACAGGCACCCAGTTGCCCATGCACGAGCGCATGTGCGTGCGTGTGTGTGTGTGTGTGTGTGTGTGTGTGTGTGTGTACACACACACCCTAAAAATGTCTTTGAGGCCCTGACATGATGTTTGGCTTAACTAGAGGACGAGACATATGCATAACACAGCAGTCCTGGTCAAGGTGTGGTCTGATTAGCTGTCACAGACCCATCATTGTCTGGGCTCTGGTCTGCAAGGTCCCTCAGTGCGTGTGAAATGTCTCCTAGGAGACAAAGTGTTCCCTGGCTGCACAAGGCTTCAGCATGAGATTCCCAGGAAATTCCAATTCCTTGGGGTCCACTGTCTCAGTGAAAGGAGAAACACTGTCTCTCTTCAGAGTCCTGACTCTTCTGCTAGGATGGTTACAGGAATAGAAAACACCTTGAAGGATCCAAGTACCTCTTCCACAGGAGGGAGTATTATTCCCCCTGCACAGTGGGAGGTCTCAGAAGTTAGCAGTGAGCAAGAGAGGATACTCCTACTAAATTTGCAGCTCCTATCACCTAGTGACCAGGCTAAGAGGTAGGACACACCCACTTTCCAGCCAGACAACAGGACTGTGAAGCAACTTGGTAGGGGCACTCATGACTGGAAAATGCAGGGCCATCTATTTGTTTTCAGTGTGTGTGTGTGTGTGTGTGTGTGTGTGTGTGGGTGTGTGTGTGTGTGTGTGTGTGGTTGTGTTTTTGTGTTTCTGTGTGTCTGTGTGTGTGTGTCTGTGTGTGGGTGTGTGTGTCTGTGTTTGTGTGTTTGTGTGTGTGTATACACATATATGAAATATGAAAAAAAAATATTTTTGAAACAGTGTCTCACTCTGCAGACCAAACTGGCCTTGAACTTACAGAGATCTGCCTGTCTCTGCCTCCCACATGCTAGAACAGAGACTAAGGCATCTGGCATCACACCCAGCTCTCTCCTTTTAAAATGCATTTATTCTTTTTAGACAAAGTCTCACTGAGTTGCCCTTGAACTTTCTCTGTAGCCAGGAAGGCTTTGAACTTGCCATCCTCACCCTCAGGAGTATCTGAGTTTACACTATGTGCCATCAGGGCCAGCTTGCAAACCCAATTCAAAGTCTGGTTCCATAAGGACTCAGGGCTCAGTGCAGGCACAGAGCAAGAAGTGTGTCTGCCCTGGGAACCCCCAGCTGACCTGCTGCTAATTAACAATACTTGCATTGCAGAGCCCTTGTGGCTCTAGGTGCTGGGACAGGCTGGAAAGCAAGAACAAGCTCCCTTCAGATGGAAAGGCTGGCGCACAGGCTGTGAGCAGAGGGAGAAGCATGTACTGTGAGTCATCGGGACCACAGAGAAGCGGCAGGGGAGCAGGTGGTGGGAGGCTACCTCGAGTGGGAGCTCTAGGCTCCTTGCTCCCCACGGCTACTGCACCCACAGGGAGGCAGGGTGCTTGTTCAACATGGCTGAGTTCTCTCCAGGGTCTGAACCCAACAGGTTTTCTTTTCTCTCATATGCCGTTAAACCAAATCTGAGCATTTAAGTATTCAGGAGAGCCCTGATCTGCAAATATTTGCCTACCTCCAGCAGCTCCCACCCACTCCCCAGGAGGCCAATTAAGACTCCCTCCTTGGGGACAGCAGGCAGCCTGACAGTGGGACTGCTGAATTCCAGAGGCTTCACAGACTTGGGATGGCAGCCCCCAGCTGGTGACATACCAGCCCCTTCCTGTAAGAATATGTGTTAACATGTGTGTAAGCACACACACACAGAGGAGGGGGGAGCACAATGTCTCAAAGCCTCCAGCCATTGAGAACTTGATTAACAGCCACTCACACTTTTGAAGGACTCTTGCAGAGAAAATTCCGAAAGGACCTGGGTGGCAGTGGGGGCCAAGTAGTAAGTGACAGCCCAAGCCCATCTGCCCAACAACTTCCCAGGGCAGTAGCTTGTCCCCAGACCTCAGGAGGATAGATAGAGTGGGGCACAGACTACTCTCCTAATGATGGCAATGGGGGTAGCAGGTGCTAGCGCCCTGCTGTGACCACCACATACCAGATGCTCATACTTCCCAACCTGCATGCACCTGCCTGCCCCTCACACTGTGGCTCCTCCACCTGGAGACCCCCTCATCACACCTCTCTGCTCTCTACCTGCCACACATTCATCATCAGGCCCAAAATTAAATGCCATGGTGGCTAAGTGACCTGGGATGGCACTAGCCAGCTGTGTAGCCTTGGGCAAATCACTGAAGATCTCTGTGCCTCAACTTGGCATCTGTAGAATGGAAACAACATTGTTACCCACACCTCCTAGAGATGCGGTGATAATCAATGGAGTCACATTTGGGGTGTTTCGGGTATATGGGTCATTAACCAAATCATCAGTGATCCATCTGAAACACTTTCCTGTCTTCATCACTGGGAGGGGTAGTTTCTGTGCACTCAGAGGCCCAACAAGGCCATTAGGAGAAGGGACAGGGACGCGCACACACACACACACACACACACACACACACACACACACACAGAGAGAGAGAGAGAGAGAGAGAGAGAGAGAGAGCCTTTGCATGCTGGGCCCTGAACCCCATATACCACAGGGGAACAAAACATCAGTATTTCCAGATGCCAAGGGCTCTGGAATCTCTCCTCATGTGCAGAAGACATAAGCCCAGAGCTGTTTGGTGCCCAGAGCCAAGTCACACAGAAGTGAAGGGACAGATCAGCCCATGACACCCTCTGCTTCCCATAAGTCCTCCTGTGTGTCTTGCTATTGGGGCTTCCTGTCCTGCTCTCAGCTTCCCTGCCCTGCAAAAACCATGCAACAAAGCCATGTGCTCTGAGCTGCTTGTAGGCAAAGAGCAGGGAAAAAAAAAAAAAAGAGGGAAGAAAATAGAACAGAGCAGCAGAGCTGAAACATTCTCCTCGGAGGGAAGGGAAATCAAATTTGATGAACCAACCTCTGCATAATGTTAACTTATAAATGTGCAAAGTGATATTCTGCAATATGCTATGAAACACTCGTTGTGGGCCTGAGCAGTCCAGGGCTACAGGAACTGTGGCTTGATGAGAAGCTGCTGCCTGGGTGAGGTACACGTGGTCTGAGCTGCTCCTTGAGCAGTGCAGGGCGCAATTTCCCTAGGTGTACCATATCAAAGCGTGAGAAACAGTTGCAGTGTTAATGGAGTGCCGGGGGCTTTGGGCCATTCACCACTGCTCTAAGCACTGAGTACTGCCCCCACTCCCGTCCTGGCTACTGATGCCTAGGCTAGGACAAGCTCCTGACCATGCTGGGAGTGAATGGCCTCCTCCCTGCCAGGACACTGTGTCTGCACTCACAGAGGCTGGAGCTAAATGCCACACAAGAGGGAGGCAGCATCCAGGCTTCTCAAGGATCACCAGATCACCAGGAAGACACCTCATGTGTTCCTACTAGGTTTCTGACACAATCCTAGGTGAGTGCCGTGAGTGGCACCAAGTGATGCTAGCACAAGTATGTGGGGCACACCGCAGAGAAGTAACCAGAAAGAAGGGTGCGCTGGTGGGCACCCTAGAAGGAGCACAGCAATTGCAAAGCTCTGGGATAGGGAAGTCTTGGAGAGCCCATGGGAGAAAGGATGAGGCAGAGTCAGAGAAAGGTCTAAAATGATCAGAGAGGGACCCGTCCTCCACACCATGCTCTGTCTCTGCCTGGAAGTGCCTCATTGCCCAGTCTTCTTCCCTGTAGTCCTCCACATACCCCAAGGACATGTCCCCAGGGTCACTCAGCCCCACCCACTTAAAGTATTGCTTTTACCTCAGTCTCCCCCTACCCCCACCCACTCCTCACCCTGTACCCAAGAATGGGGTACAGGACTCACCTGAAAGGTGGTTGTAAGAAACACAGGAGAAGAGAAAGGGGACAAGGAAGGAGGGAGGGATCAGAAAGGTGGGCTTGTGGGCAGGCTCCCACTCAGGGCCCAGGTTCCACTGAGAGCAAGCTAGGTGCAGTTTCTTCTATGGGTAGGAGGCCCAGGCCTTTATCCACTTTCACCACTACTGAAAGCCTCTTGGACATTCTAGCAGGCATCATGCTCTTGAGAAGGCTGACTCCTGAGTCACAAAGTGCCCTTACCCTCAGAGTCCCCACATACCTATTAAGAGCCCCGCTCCCACCCCAGTCACACACAACGTCTGTGAGCACTGGGAAGACATTACCACGGTTTGAGAACACCTGTGTAGACACAAGCAGGTGCCTGGGTTTGATGTTAAGTCTGCTTCTTCCCAGTGAGCGGTCTGATCCTCAGAGACATGGTCAGCCTGAAAAGGTTCAAACTTTGAGCCGCATAGACCTGGGCCCGTGTCTTCCACTACTGTGTGGTTTTAAATTAGTGTCTTCACATCTCTGAGTCTCATTACCAAAGGAAGCAACAGTGCTCACTGGGAGGCCATGAGCATGCTGTTAGGTGCCTAGACATAGGACCTGGCCCAGCTATGTGAGACAGCCGTGTCTGGCTGGCTCTGTCTACTCCGCTTGGGAAGGTGGTGTGGGCTATGGAGAAGCTCAGTGGGAGAGTAGTACTAGCATACATGAGACCTTGGGTTCTACCCCAAGCACTGGGGAAAACAGGAGCACCCAAGGGCAAGTGCTGAGAGTGGAGACCCCAGGCCCAGATTTGCTCTTCTTAGACTCCAACAGCACAGAAGCTCAGGCAGGATGTGCTGCCTGTGGCCAGGACAGGAGGCAGAGCACCTCTGTCCTTGCCTCTGTTGTCACCAGCCGCTGCCAGCCCAGGAGGTGGACAGAGGAAGGCAGCACCAGCCACGCTGGGTGGGGCCCGCTTCCTAGCATGTAATGAGGGCAGGGCCTTTCATGGCCCGGAAGAGATTCCAGCAACTGAAGCCAGGCAAGCAGCACTAGATTGTAGCCAGCCCACAGGAGTAACTTTGGATGGAGTTGTTTCCTCTAGGAAATAAGAGGGAAGAACAAAGTAGACTCAGAACCACTGAACTGAGGAGAACAGGGGGTACCTCAAATACTGGGGTTCCCTAGCTGATGATCTGAAGGCCTTCAAAAGAACAGTTGAGAGGAGTCCAGCTAATGCTGTCTCAGGCTTTTAAAATCCTGATATCTATTCTCCACCCATGTCTGCCTATGGTGCCATGTATTACTCCTTCCACCACTCTAGCCATGTAACTCATCTACCCATCTGTCTATCTACTTATCCATCCATCCACCCACCCTCTCACCTAATAATCCAACCACTCAATCATCCATCTATTCATCCAACAACTTATCTATCCATCCATCCATCCATCCATCCATCCTCCCATTCACCCGCATATCTATCCAACACTTACCTATCTATTCACCCATCTACTCATCTATCAGCTCCCTTATCTACCCACCCATTCACTTATCTGTCTGTCCACATACTCATTCAATCATCTATTCATTTACCTACTATCCAGATTTTAACCATCCAACTGCCCATCTATCCATCCAAGCAGTTAGCTACCATCCATCCATCTATCCATCCATCCATCCATCTGTCCAACAATCCATCCACTTATCTATCTAGCCACCAATCCACTATTTGTTGCCACCTATGTTGTTCCCAGATCACTTCTGAAGACTTACGTGATCAGGTTTTGTCCTTGACTTTGAGAAGTCACCAACTTCTGGTGACCATCACCAACCCTGCTGCTGGATCCTTTCACTCAGCACCATTACAGGGCCCAAAGAAGGAAGCCATCATAGTTCGGCCTTCTAATCGTAGCTGAAGTAGCCCAGAGCTGAACGGCTACCACTCACATGCTGTTCCTTTTTGAGTTCCCCATAATCTGTTCACATAAGTCTTAAGCAATTTTTTAAAGATTTATTTATTTATTTATTTATTTATTTATTTATTATGTCTACAGTGTTCTGCCTACGTGTATCCCTGAACACCAGAAGAGGGCACCAGATATCATTACCATGGGATGCAGTGTTCTGCCTATGTGTATCCCTGAACACCAGAAGAGGGCACCAGATATCATTACCATGGGATTGCTGGGAATTGAATTCAGGACTCTGGAAAAGCAGCTTAGCCTCTTAACCTCTGAGCCATAACTCCAACCCAGTCCTAAGCAAGTTTATGCCCACAAAACATTAGATGTCCCAAAAATCCAAAGTCTACACTCTCTCTTACTCAGCTTGTCCCAGCTCCAAGATCACCTCAGGCAGGCCATTTGCTTCAGTCTTGAATGGGGCCTTTGGGCAGATCAGGCCCTGGGTTTCAGGTTCCTAGGACTTGCCAGAGGTGACCACATATGCACTGACCTCTCCCGGAAGTACTTGATGGCCTCGGGGTCTATGAAGGTCGGCTCCTCCCGGTAGCCCTGCTCAAAAACCTTGCGCTTGTGCCGGAACTCAATGACTGTCTTGGTGTAGGAGTTGAGCGTAGTGACAGACGCCGCCATGCAGCAGGTAAACGAACCCCAGGCCAAGCTGCCAAGAGACCAGGAGAGAGAGGCCACAGTGAGGGTGGGCGGAGACAAGGAGCCTCATCTCTGCACCATTTATCTACCTAGCACAGCTACAAGGCCCTAAGACTTGGTTCCCACTCTACTTTAATCTGGGAGAATGACAGTGGTCTTCACATTGTGACAAAAACACATTACTAAGCCATTGCTGTGAGAGCAAGGAGAACCAGGGACAGCAATGACCATAGCGGTCCTGGTAAGATGAAGAAGTCCTGGCCAGAGAAGAACATTCTAGGAAGAAGGAACCGTAAACGCAAAGCTATGGAGGCATGAGGCAGCGGGCTGCATGAACACACTGCGGGAGGCAGGGGTGCTGGAATGGCTGTGGATACTGAAGCTGAGGCTGGAGAAGGCGGTGGGGCATGTTTACTTGAGGGTGAAGTTGAGTTTGCTCCTATATACCCCTGGGAAATATACTTGGCCTTTGTGCCATGCACTCCTCACATCCAGTCTGTGGACAGCATGGTTGCAGGAATTAACAACAGACTAGTGGCTGACACGTGGAAGCACTCAGGAGAGGCTCGCCGTCACTGCTGTCGTTACCTGGACAGACATTCTTATTCCTGCTTCTCTAGGTCTCAGTCTGCAAGCTCTCCCTCTGGGAGATGAGGTTCTGATGTCCTGCTCGGCCATCTATTCTGTACCTTCCCTCCTGGAGCTGGACTGCTTGGCTGCTCTACCTGCTGAGTGCACTGAACTCATCCCAAAGCCAGGAAACCTACTCCAATTGCAGCCTTCATTTCTAGAAATGGCCTCCTGCCTGACTCCTCTCACTTGGACTGTATACTCATGTTTAGTGCCAGGAGTGGGAGCCCCTGGCTCCTGTTCCACGGACTGCTGATCTCTTCTGATCTCATTTCATGGGCTCCTCTCTGCTCTCCCAGCACCACCTACTACCTGAGAGCTCCAGGCTTTTATTTGCCCAGTCCCCTGTTATCAGAGCAGCCCTGCCTCCCTCTTAACAACAGCCTCAGCAAACCCCAGAAGGAAAGTAAAGGAAAAGTCTGTAGATTTGGCCTTTCTCAAATGGATCTTCAATAATCACTTATTTCCATTCATGCCTAACCCATTAATAGATTCCTCACATCTTTTGGAGCTAATTTAGGTCTTCTAGAAGCTCGGAGTATCTATAATAGACATTTTTAAGGTGTTAGTCTCTCCAAGGACTTCCATGCCCATCAAAGTGTTCAATGTGCTTTACACACACACACACACACACACACACACACACACACACACACAGAGAGAGAGAGAGAGAGAGAGAGAGAGAGAGAGAGAGAGAGAGAGAG